GGGCGAGTGTACTGACCCCAGCGACTGCAGCTATGCAGTCACGCTGCTGAACGGCGCTCGCCTCACGTCTGCTTCCCTGTTTCAGATCATGGACGAGTGCAAGGACGGCATCCGGTACATGTTCCAGACGGAGAACCGGGTGACGCTGGCGCTGTCCAGCACCGGCCACGGTGGCATGGAGGCCGTGATGTGCAACATGCTGGAGCCAGGCGACACCATCCTGATCGCCAACAACGGCATCTGGGGCGAGCGATCGGCCGACATGGCGCGCAGGCACGGTCAGTGGCTGCTGAGGCTGGAGGGGGTAGGAGGGAGCAGTGTTGAAGGGGGAAGGGGGAGGGACAGGAGCAGCGGCTTGTAGTAGCGGACTGGTGTTTGATCCAATGTGGAGCTGGAAACTGTCCATCCAATTTTAGCTGAAATAAGGTGAAATCGCCTACCAACTTAATGAATTTGATTTGTCTGAGGCTGGTCTGAATTACACATAGCAGCTCTGTAGTAATTAATGAATCAAATAGAAGATAAATGGCTGAAGCTACGTACTCGCATAGTCATAATCCGACGTACACACTGTACCTTTATTTAACGCTCGGAATGGATTCTGTTCAGGAAGAGCCAAGCGCGGGTCTTTCCAATGAAAATACTGGAAGCAAGAGCGTCACAACCCATCCGCCGGCTTCTCTTTTTATTTTTAAAATGACTCCGCCAACCCCTGCGCTTTACCTGAAGTGTAAGAGCATCATTGCGTTGGTCGCCTAAATAGCAGGGTGTAACATACCACAGTATGGCATGACAGTACAACATACTGGCAGCATAGCATGGCACAGCAACAGCGCCGTCAGTCCCACTAACCGCTGACAGGCGCCGTGGTCCACGAGCTGAAGGAGCCGGCCGGATCTGCTTTCTTCCTGCAGTCGATTCGTGCAGCGCTCGACGTCTACAAGCCGTGTCTCCTCTTCGTCACGCACGGGGAGTCCTCTACCGGAGTCGTGCAGAACCTGGAGGGCATTGGTGACGCCTGCAAAGAGTAAGGACTGCCAGGTGCTTTGTCTCCGTCCCATCTTTGTACGTGCATGGGGGCTGTAGATGCATGTGGGTTCGTGCCCCGTCTCGCAGACATGAGTCAAGGCTCGCTTGCTCATGTCTTCTATCACAGCCGGTGCTGCACAAGTGCGTTCATGAACTATGAGCCTCATATGGGACTTAAGGAATCTATACGACGTATGTGCCAAACTTATACGTAATATCTTCTACCGACATGTTACAAAATACCGCTCTTTAGCCTTTTGCTTGCGTTCGTTTCATACGGTTCCCACCGTTTGAAAAAATTGTGCAAACCCTGACGGGCTCGCACCACCGGCAAACATCTCACGCTGTCTGAAGTATACCTTGAAGTGACGTATGCTGGCTGACATGTGGTGCCACCTGTGGGGCGCGGGCCCTGGCGGCCGCGGATCCCCGCGTGTGACGCGTCACACTCTGGTGGCCGTGCGCCAGCGCCAGTGACGCGTCACTCCTGTCACTGCAATGCGGGGTGTGGATCGTGACCGGCTCCGTCTCCCACCCAGGCACGGCTGCCTCTTCGCCGTGGACACGGTGGCCTCGCTGGGCGGCACGCCGTTCCTGGCCGACGAGTGGGGCGTCGACGTGGTGTACACGGGTTCGCAGAAGGTGCTGGGCGCGCCGCCCGGCACCGCCCCCATCTCGCTCAGCGATGCGGCCTGGTAAGGGGCGGTGTGGTTAGCGGCGGGGATCTAGTGGTTAGCGGCAAGGATCTATCTGCTAGCGTCGGGGATCTAGTGGATAGCGGCGGGATCAAGTGGTTAGCGGCGGGATCTACTGGTTAGCGGCGGGGATCTAGTGGTTAGCGGCGGGATCTAGTGGTTAGCGGCGTGATTTAGTAGTTAGCGGCGGGGATCTATCTGTTAGCGGCGGGATCTAGTGGTTGGCGACTGGGATCTAGTGGTCTCGCAGTAGTTAGCGGCGGGGATCGAGGTGGGGATGTCCGTGGGAGGCGGGATATATCATCAAAACTGACACGGGAACTATGTCTCATTTATTCATGCGTTCATGCGTTTACTAACTATTTCGTGCTATTACTCTTTCAAGTTCAATAATTTGCTCTCTTCTATGTTCTGTTGTTTGATTGCTCATTATGCCTTATATTTCGATTTGAAACACGAGAACAGAACAGTGTGGATGGATGCAGCGATCACAAACGCCGTGTTATCTAAATTTAAAGCCAATGTTCTGCGTTTTCAGGCAGAAGGTGGTCAACCGGAAGACTCCGATCCGGTCGTTTTACTTTGACCTGACCTGGCTGGCTAACTACTGGGGCTGTGACGAGGGACCACGCAAGTGAGCACATGTTGTTACCATATTTTTTAACTTTTTAGACGACTTTTTCAAAAGTTTCAAGTTTGCGGTCATGATATCGCTCTGATTATTCATGTCTGACTGCTTTAGGATATTTGTGAATTTTCTCAATGCTTGGTGAAGGAAAAGGTGCAGCTCAGCTTAGCCTTGTAATAATTGTAATACTAAATCCTTGGCACAGATGTCCGCTATGAATGGAGCACTGGTACCTCGCTTACAGCACCCAAGCCATGGTGCTGCCACCTCTCGCATGCGACCTGAACGGCAAACCAACAATTCGAACCTCCGCCGCCAGATGTCACTAGCCTGACCCGCCGTCGCCGGCAGGTACCACCACACAGGCCCCATCTCGGGGGTGTACGCGCTGCGCGAGGCGCTGGCCGTGTCGTGCGCGGCCGGCCTCGAGTCGCTCTGGGAGCGGCACAGCCGCTGCGCGCGCCGCCTCTACGCCGGTCTGGCCGAGATCGGCCTGCGCCCGTTCGTCGAGACGGAGAGCTTCCGGCTGCCGACCGTCACCACCGTCAGCGTGCCCGACGGCGTCAACTGGAAGGCCGTCATCGGCTACTGCATGAACACGTGAGATAGCACTCTGTGGTGGTCTAACCGGGGCGGAGGGAACTGGAAGTCACGTGGTGCACTTGGTGCCGGGAGAAAGCCTAAACGTCGTAATGCGGCTTGACTGGTGTTACGTGATTCCCCTTGTATCAGGTGAAATATCACGTTTATCGCGCGATACCCCACGTGCGAGTGCTCTTGGGGTGCTCTTGAATCCATGGATATTTGCACTTGGTTACAAACCGGGCTCTCGCGGAGCTTTGACGCTGTGACGTTGCCGCAGGTACAAGGTGGAGATAGCGGGCGGCCTGGGCCCCACGGCCGGCAAGGTGTGGCGAGTGGGGCTAATGGGCGTCAACGCCACCGAGGAGAGGGTGGACCTCGTGCTGCGTGCCCTCCGGGAGGCACTGGCGCAGGCCAGCATCTAGGTCAAGGTTGCGGAGGTCACCGGCCGCCGCCGCCGCCGCCTTGCGGCACCGGCCGGACCTCGTCCGTGAGCACCACCCCAGGCGCGAAAGGCTGCCGGCGAGAGGCGCCGGGACCGGTAGCTGTGGGACCAACGCGGATCAGCTGTTTTCTCAAGCTTACACCTGTTGTTGTACCGAAACATGTGCAATGGGTCATGTACGGCTTTCCGATCATGTTTACAACGCGTGGTTGGTAAGCCATTTGTATTGAAATATTCCCCACTGGTTGAATGGTTTTGCATAATACGACTCATTCCAACGGCGTGCAATATATTGATGCGAGCTCCAGTGACAGTGTCATACGGCATAGCTCATATGGAGCCATGCCACGAAGCCACAGGTCACAGTCACAGATCAAAGAGCAGACTCGGGCGACCTGTCTTCGTAAAAGCGGCGACTCGAAAAAAGGATTAAGCCCACCAAAACTACAATTATACCTGTTCCTGAGAGTCGAGAACCCTGATTCCAACGTGCGTTTTGCTAACCTCCGCGGATCTCAAACAGTTGAAGTATTTCCACTTCCGCTCCTCTGCCACAGTGCTACGGTCTGACACACTGCCACATGAAAAGTTATCACCTTGCCTCGCGTGGGGACCATTCTAAGGCTGGAGCTGTACGGACTTATCATAGCGCAAAATGCAAATTACCAAGATGATAAATAAATCACGAAAGCAATACATAATATTCCACGCATTTAACTAAGAACTAATCTCACGGCAAGCCAAATCCCTTCAACTCTATCGCCGTTAACCCGCCACTGTTTGAGGCTGCCATATCCTTGAGTGTTTCATCTCGCAATGTTGGCTTTGATCGCAACCAGCCTCCTCAGTCTGAGCAATCCCGTTTTCATGGATGGTCTGCGGTTCCGCGACACTGGCTGAACAAATCAAAGGCGTTGAATGTATTGAGCCAATGCTTGCTCTCCGCGCTAGCATCCGTAAAACCCTGTGCTCATTCCTAAATCCTGCGTAAAACCCCGTATATTCAGTGGCGCTTTGTTAATAATCAAGCCTGCCGCACAACAGCCACCTGTTCCCGGGTCCGCTTCTGAGCCACTGCGTTTACGTCATCTGCACCTCAGAACTTGTATCGCACTGGTGCGTCTGACCAGTCGAGAGAGCGGAAGCGGCGTGTTCCGTGACGCTCCGTACAGCCGGAGTGGGGTTCCAGCACGGGACTCCAGACTATACGGGCATAGGAGCCAGAGGGAACTCATGCGGCTAGGCATACAGACATATCGGTATGCTGGTGTCACGCCTGCTCCGAAGACAAGGCCCTGATGAAGCGAATGCTAGGCTGCGGCGACAGGAAACAACCGACTAGAGATGACGTACCACAAAACAAAAGTATCATTTTGTTGCAAGCACAGCTATTCTACAGGAACGCGTGTCACCGATTGTTGTTTACTAAATACCACAGCACTCATCGGCCCGCTCTCCACGCAGCCCTTTCCGGAGTCCTCGACCTGACTGTGTCTGCGGTCCCCCACGGCGGCGGCCGAGGCATGCTCACCGCTCGCACAGCCTCAGCTCGCCGCCGCTGAACCCGCGCTGCTGCGCTCGCTGTCGGGCGTCGCACGACGAAAACACGCACACACTGGTGTATGGTGTGGCTGTATTTTACATGACACGGACCGCTCGGCGACGCCCACGCCGTCACTGCCCAGTATCACATCTCGTACACCGGGGCTGCCGGGCTGGCCGGGAGCGCCGACTGGGGCGGCGCGCGCGCTCTCCCCTGCGCTGACCTCCTCCCTCCCTCTCTCTCACGCTCTCGCTCCCTTGCGCACACGCGCGCAGTCTCTCGTTCGCATGCTCACCTCTCCATCGTTTCTCTCGTTATCATTCTCCTTTTTCGCCTCGCCTCGCTCTCCCTCTCTGCTTGCCTCCACGCACCGGGAGCGGAGGGGCATCACGCGCCGACACGGGGGCCCACCAGCTGCGGGACGCGCCAGCGTCGACCGGCCGGTCTCGCCGGTCAGAGCGGCCAGCGCAGTGCACGCCACCGAACGGCACAGCTGAACAAAGCCTAAAGCCATGACTGGGACGGGAGCCCTCATCCCGCGGCGCGCCCTCCCTCCGCGGTTAATCGACACAAGAGTGGCCTTCGCTACTGCGCCGCCACGCCAATGGCCGTGACACCCCTGGACGAATGCTTACGACAGCGATTAGCTACGCTACGAGCCTATAACAGACGACCCTGAGAACAAATATATCTGACTCGATGCTGCTCACAGTCGCGTGGCCTAAGGGTCACTCACAACAACCGGGTCACCCCCGACTCCGCGCGGGCTCGACGCACGCCGATATCCTAATGACTTGCTGATGCCCCCTTTTGCACTCACAACCGCCTGCAGCCTAACTTTACCAGAGAAGGAGAGCAGCAGCCGTGATCGTCTCACATCTTCAGCGTCTTCATCGGCTGCCTTCAATTCCGCGCCGTTTCCTCTCGTGCTCCGCGCTCGCGGCTCGCGCGGCCGGTCCGTTTTGAAGCGCACCCACCCGCGTCCCTGTCACACACAGTGCCGGCGCAACGCTCGACCGCCGCTCGCCCCCAGCCGCGCGCACAAGCTGAACCGATCCGCGTCCACCGTGCATTTTTACAAAAATAATCGGACTGCGTCTGCCACCGGCCACTGGCACCAACAATAAGCGTACAATCTTCGCCCCCGTCGGTCGCGCGTTGCGTGTCGCCTGGGCCGCGCGCGCGGCGACGGTCCGCGGTCGGGGGGCAGAACGCCGCGCCCCCGCCCGCTCCCGGCCGGCGCCGCCAGCCCGCTCGCTATGACACTTACAGCTATGGCACTATGTACAGGTACGCAGTGGGCGGCGCGCGCCGCGTCGCGCCGGCCCGGACGCCGGCGCGGCTATAGACAGGTGGCGCCCCGGCCACGCTCCGGTGAATACAGGCGGCGGCGCCGGTGCGTCTCGGGCGGCGCCGCTGGGCTCGCGGCCGCCGCGCCGCGGTCCCCTCCAGCGGCCGGCGCCGCCTCACATTGCACGCAATGTTTCGGCTTTGTACTTCCCGCCAGTGCGGCGGGCGCGGGTGGGTGGGGGCGCCGCGCGACGCCGCTTACGTCCGGCGGTAGCGCGGCGCGTGGCGCCGCCGCGCCTTGCCCGGCCGATCGCCGTTGGCCGATGGCGCCTTGCCCGGCCGATCGCCGATCGCCGTTGGCTCGGCCGATCGCCGGCACACGTCGCAGCATTCGCCTGGCTGCTTCTTGGTGAGGCCGCACGTGAGCTTCGGACACTGCTTGCGCGAGCACGATATCTGGCGGTCCTGCAGACGGAGACGGGACTTAGACACACGCTTGAGGGGGTGGAAAGGTTTCAAACGGCAAATGAACGTCGGTTTTCAGCCTAACACTGCAGCAGCTTGATGTAATACAATTATTGCTATGCATATTAGCATAACGCACGGGCCCACTATAACACGGAAGAATGCTGAAAACACCACACCAGGTCTGACGTCTTTTTCGAACCACGATACCGATGCACTTAAGCGCCGTCCTGTGCGCCAGTGCACGCCTCCCACGGTTCCACCCGCTACGACGTGTCAGCTGGCTTGACGTACCCTCCCCTTCCCCAATCGTCCCCCCATCACGCACCCTGCAGTGGCAGACCACGCAGGGCAGCACGCCGATGGTAACGATGCGCGGGTTCCACTGGTCGCCATTCCGGTAGAATTTCGAGGACTTGCGGCAGCCGCCGGCCTGCAGCACTTCCTCGGGCGTCAGCTCCCGACCCTGATCTTGCATCTCACCTGCACAGGGAAGCGGTAGAACACCGCGTCAGTCGGTGACACGGCGCCATAATCGGCTCTACAATCACTCGCAACTTTAAACCAACGGCCTTTCCGTTCCGAGCCATATACTGAGAGTTTGCCGGGCGGGGAGACTCGGAAAGAGGCCCCATTTTTGCTCCAGCATCCTCGCAGATAGCTTCGTTACTTCTGGCTACGGAGATGTGGAAAGCAGTTGGATGAGCCACGCTCTACGTTGGTGTGTGGGGTGTGGCGTATGCTCCCCTGATCAGGTTGCAATGTTGATGGGTGCTGTGTGACTGTGCTCCCCTGACCGGGTTGTGACATTGGCCATTGCTGTGTGACATGTGCTCCCCTGACCGGGTTGTGACATTGGCCATTGCTGCGTGAAGTGTGCTCCCCTGGTCCGCACGCGGTGTCTGCGGTGTAGGCAGCGGGCGCGCTCACCGGTTCGGCTGGTGCTGGCCAGCATGCGCGGCTGGGCCGGCACCGGCGGCGGCGGCGGCCGACACTGGCGGCAGCAGGTGCCCGAGCGCGGCTTGTACTCGCGGCCCGGACAGTCCAGCTCCGGACACGGCACCTTGCTGCACGATACCCGGGGATGGCCCGTCCCGGCGCTCGCCTGCTGGCACGCGCACCGCCGCGTCAGACACACGACCGAAGGGCACGGAGTCACGTGGCTCACACGCGGAGGAAGGCGCCGAGTCCGGGGTCAGACACACAGCCGAAGGGCACGGAGTCAGGTGGCTCACGCGCGGAGGAAGGCGCCGAGTCCGGGGTCAGACACACAGCCGAAGGGCACGGAGTCAGGTGGTTCACACGCGGAGGAAGGTACCGAGTCCGGGGTCAGACACACAGCCGAAGGGCACGGAGTCAGGTGGCTCACACGCGGAAAAAGGCGCCGAGTCCGGGGTCAGACACACAGCCGAAGGGCACGGAGTCAGGTGGCTCACACGCGGAAAAAGGCGCCGAGTCCGGGGTCAGACACACAGCCGAAGGGCACGGAGTCAGGTGGCTCACGCGCGGAGGAAGGTACCGAGTCCGGGGTCAGACACACAGCCGAAGAGCACGGAGTCAGGTGGCTCACGCGCGGAGGAAGGCACCGAGTCCGGGGTCAGACACACGACCGAAGGACACGGAGTCAGGTGGCTCACGCGCGGAGGAAGGTACCGAGATCTTGTCAGACACTGGACAGCCTGATCGGAGACACGCGTCACATGTGGGGTGCCTCGAAACGGAGATCGGTGCCGCCGAAATCGTCGCATTGAAGCACCACGTCTCACACGCCGAGGGACGCCGGCGAGGTCAGGAGGCTGCGGCCTGCGCAACCGCCGGGTCACGCAGGGCAGGCCGGGCCACGCGGCCGCACCGGCCCCGCAGCGATACTCACCTCGCACGCGCAGGTGACGCACTTGTCGAAGCCGAATGGCGGCACGAACGGGTGCCAGATGCTGCCGACAGGCCGGAACCGTCCAGCCAGCGAGCAGCCTCGCGGCTCCCCGGTCGGCGCCGGCGCCGTCTTGTCTGCGCGCACGCGTGACATAGGTCAGTCACCACAGCGGTGGCGCGCACGTGCAGTGGTGGCTAGGGCGCCATCTGTGGAGGGCAGCTACTGCCATCTACCGGAAGGGGAGTAACGCAGGCGTAATTCGAAATGTAACGCGAGATCTGTGTATCCCTAGATAAACTACATTCCATACTGAGCTGCTCACCTCAGCATGACAACGAGCACGCAGATTCACTAATAACATAAACGTTGCCACTGGCGAGCTGGAGGGGCACGTACACCAAGCTTGTCAAAACGCCCTTATGCCGTCCGAGCCCTGACCGTCAGACAACCGTATTTCCCCCCCGGCAGCGGTGTACTCACTGTCGCAGGCGGGGCAGCAGGCGCCGGGCACGCTCAGCCGATTATCGCAGCCGATGTCGGGACACACGATCCTCTCGCACACCACGCGGCCGTGGTTGCAGCTGCAGATGCGGCAGCTGTCGTGCTGGGCGTCCCACTGTGCGCCGTCCTCGTACACTTGCTCTGGAACGGCAGCGGCGCGGCGGTCAGTACGCGGCTAGCGCATGCGCCTGCTCCACCGGCAGCAGCCCGGCAGCAGCTGGGCACTCAGCACGCAGCCGACGCGGACGCCTGCTCCACGGCAGCAGCCCGGCTGCAGGTGCGGCTCTCGGCGTCGGTGATTTCGTCGAGTTGAGCATACGCTGGATGACAGCGCAAGATAAGGCTGATTAGGCTAACAAAATTACAGGACCGAAGGCAAATGACTCAAGCTAAGAGCGACAAACGGCCAGCGTTGTTGTATGATGTTCAATCATGTTCTGCTCCAATATCAGCGCCAGTGAAAAATTAATCGTGGTCGCCTTGGGATGCGAAGGTTTGAAAAGCTTTTTTCAGCAATTATTGTCCATTGCTGCAGTTGTAGTGTATTGCATGTATCGTGTAGGCGGTGGCTCATCCAGCGAGGAAAATGAATTGCTTGACGACGGTATTCGTGCCCACGTCCAACGTGACGTATCTGTCTGACGTTAATTCCACGCCTTGCAACATCTTCACATACAGGTGTTCAGAACCGCCTGCTAAAGCATGCACCTACAGACGTCATCACGCCCACAACCAAAGCCAAGGAGCCCTACGCTTAAGCCGATTTACCTTCGCTGATAACAACAAACCATCGCAACAAACTGGACCAGCGGCAGCAAAATGGCGATCCTATCTCAGCGCGGAAGAGGCGGCAACAACAGACCGTAATTGGGTAGATTTAAATTCTGCAGGCGGTTAGGCTGCTCCAGTGCCTGTATTATCATTGCCAAAAATAGCGTTCTGAGCGACTGCACCTAGCCACCGTACGCAGTGGTCCAGATAAGGGAACACGGGATCCCACATGAAGCCCTGTTTGCACTCAGGAATTTCAGCCGTGCCATGCACTGCCACGGCCCGAGCGTCAGCGCAGCTGTACCCAGCTCGCGTGATTGCCGCGCGCTTATTGCCAGTCAAAGCCTGCGCTCAGCCGGGGCTCAGTCCTAATGCAATTCAGTGCAGGATGCAATACATCTGCATCTCGCCTCATCAGAACCGAAAGCTGCAAGTTCTTCCCGGAAACCAAAACATCTGGATGCGCTTAAGCGATGCACCGGCGCGGATGATGACATCATGTTGATACCCCATTGTCTGCCGTCATCACGTCCGTTACAGTGTATACAGAGCGCCGCGTGCGCGCGACTGTTGGAGCGCTGTTGCTGAGTGATGTCGGTAATGAGGCCTTCACGCGGCGGCGGCGAACCTCCCCCCGCCGACAGACAGAAACAGCAGCCGCGCGGCCAAGGGAGGGGGGGGGGGGGGGGGGGCGGCTCAACAGGATGAACATACCACGCGACACACAGCTCAAAGCCGCACGCCGTGATGAGCTCATTGGGCGTGATACGGCCGGTGTCCAGCTCAGAGACGCGTTCTCGGACACCCGCTCAGAGCTCCATTCTCGGACACCCGCTCAGAGACGCGTTCTCAGACACCTGCTCAGAGACCCGTTCTCAGACACCTGCTCAGAGACCCGTTCTCAGACACCAGCTCAGAGACCCGTTCTCCGACACCCGCTCAGAGACCCGTTCTCAGACACCCGCTCAGAGACCCGGCCCCGGACGCAGCGTCCGGCCGTCATGCCCGGCTGGTCTGCCGCCGCCCGCTGCCGGTCCCCGTCCGGCCGCCAGCCAGACCCGTTACCTCACCGCGACGCCGCCGCCGTAACGCCTCTGTTTACTATGGGGCGCCTACTAAAAGCCTGTCGGGCCGGCCGGCCACCTCTGGCATTGAATCAGATAAACGGTGGTGCTACGCGGCCAGACGCCCGTCCGGAGCGCGGCGGCCGGCGGCGGCGGAGGGGGCGCCCTCGAGCGCGGCGGCCGGCGGCGGCGGAGGGGGCGCCTCGAGAGCGGCCGGCGGCGGCGGCGGAGAGGGTGCCCTCGAGAGCAGCCGGTGGCGGCAGAGAGGGCGCCCTTGAGAGCGGCCGGCGGCGGCGGACGTTGCGCCCTCAAGAGCGGCCGGCGGCGGCAGAGGAGGCGCCCTCAAGAGCAGCCGGCGGACGGCCGAATAGGCGCCTTCGAGAGCGGCCGGCGACGTCTTCCGGCATCCAACGCCGCCAGCGGCGCCGCAGACGGTCAATATTGATCGTCCGCTTCGCTTGGTTATCTGTACGACTATGAAAATATTTGACAGCGCCGCCTGGCGTCGGCCGGTCCCGCACCGGGCCGCTCCGGACCGCCGGCTATTTTCGGCGACAAGTCCACGTGCGCCCGCGGGCAGGAAGACTCGACCACGCCTGACTCACGACTCCCAAAATAGTGACTCGGCTGTGGACTCGGCGCGACTGAGTCAGGCCGCCAGGAATAACTGGGCTCCGAGCCCAACGCGCTGCTGGGGGCCGACGTGCGCACGACCCGTTACGGCCGCGCGGCACTGTGACGGCTGCCCGGACGGCGGAGGACACGTGTTCCCGTGGCGGCCGCAGCGCCCGCGGGGGAAGTCTTCAGGAAGTCTTCATGAGGCGGGCCCCTGAGCCTGCGGCAGGGAAGCGTCTCTGCGACGGATACGTCAGGCAGACACTGCCCCGACGCCCAGTGTCTCTGTGACGGACGCGGGTTTCTGAGGCTGACCGTCATGCCCGCGAGAGAGAGAGAGAGAGAGAGAGAGAGAGAGAGAGAGAGAGAGAGAGAGAGAGAGAGAGAGAGAGAGAGAGAGAGAGAGAGAGAGAGAGAGAGAGAGAGAGAGAGAGAGAGAGAGAGAGAGAGAGAGAGAGGAGAGAGAGAGAGAGAGAGAGAGAGAGAGAGAGAGAGAGAGAGAGAGAGAGAGAGAGAGAGAGAGAGAGAGAGAGAGAGAGAGAGAGGAGAGAGAGAGAGAGAGAGAGAGAGAGAGAGGAGAGAGAGAGAGAGAGAGGGAGAGAGAGAGAGAGAGAGAGAGAGAGAGAGAGAGAGAGAGAGAGAGAGAGAGAGAGAGAGAGAGAGAGAGAGAGAGAGAGAGAGAGAGAGAGAGAGGAGAGAGAGAGAGAGAGAGAGAGAGAGAGGAGAGAGAGAGAGAGAGAGAGAGAGAGAGAGAGAGAGAGAGAGAGAGAGAGAGAGAGAGAGAGAGAGAGAGAGAGAGAGAGAGAGAGAGAGAGAGAGAGAGAGAGAGAGAGAGAGAGAGAGAGAGAGAGAGAGAGAGAGAGAGAGAGAGAGAGAGAGAGAGAGAGAGAGAGAGAGAGAGAGAGAGAGAGAGAGAGAGAGAGAGAGAGAGAGAGAGAGAGAGAGAGGAGAGAGAGAGAGAGAGAGAGAGAGAGAGAGAGAGAGAGAGGAGAGAGAGAGAGAGAGAGAGAGAGAGAGAGAGAGAGAGAGAGAGAGAGAGAGAGAGAGAGAGAGAGAGAGAGAGAGAGAGAGAGAGAGAAGAGAGAGAGAGAGAGAGAGAGAGAGAGAGAGAGAGAGAGAGAGAGAGAGAGAGAGAGAGAGAGGAGAGAGAGAGAGAGAGAGAGAGAGAGAGAGAGAGAGAGAGAGAGAGAGAGAGAGAGAGAAGAGGAGAGAGAGAGAGAGAGAGAGAGAGAGAGAGAGAGAGAGAGAGAGAGAGAGAGAGAGAGAGAGAGAGAGAGAGAGAGAGAGAGAGAGAGAGAGAGAGAGAGAGAGAGAGAGAGAGAGAGAGAGAGAGAGGGAAGGGACAGGTTTCTGTGGCAGGAGCGAGATCCTGACCTTTGGCGGAAATACTCGTGCACTCGCTGTGATAGCTACTCTGCGTAATCAAGACGCGTCTGTCGCTGGGAGTGGCAACGCGAGAAGGCTGCCATTGACCTACCTTCATATTCGCAGTCGTATGACTGTCTGATTTCGTTCTCCTCGCTCTGGTCGCTGAAGTACCCACGCATGTGGACTCGTCGCGTTGGCAAGCAGCTCTGTGGGACGAACACCTGCAAGAAATCAACGGAGGGTTACACACTCCGCGAACGACAAACTAGTCTTTCACTGCCACCACTGCCGTCAGTCCTACAAAACTGCTGTTTGGGACTGCTAACAGGCAGGTACAGCTGATATGCCAACACAGTTGAGCGGGGATTAACGGAAGTTTGGCTTGGTCTACAGTTATCAGACCAATCTGGCTGCAGCATAAGAAAACAGCTTCAGGAGCAGTTGCTGCCTATCAGTCAAGACCGTTTGTACCCCATTTCGACTGACAGCATCCGGTGGCGAACAGCGGTAGCCCGTCGGTTGCATCCTCCGTCGTTTTCAGAAACGAAATGTTGCGGACGCGCGCAGTGCAATGATAACCCCCAAGTCGTTTCATTTCAATCGAGGACCTGCATTTTGTTCTGCCCAATGTCCAAACAGAGCGGCAGGCAGATGTTTGCTGCAACACCGCGGGGTGGCCACTGCCAGGCAGAGCCCGTTGGCCGCTGGCCAGCGGACCGCAACATTTTTTTTTGTCGGCCCAACAGCGGTGCGCGTTCCGGTAGTCAAACACAAACGTCGGGATCGAACTCAAACAGCCGAGCCAACAGATGTTACTTGGAAACATGCTTTATGGCACATCAAATGAAAGCAAGTGGAATATCAATTGCAGTGTTAGAAAAGCTGCACCGGTCCGCAGCTTCGGGTCAATAGCACAACAGTTTTGTGGGGGGGGGGGGGGGGGGGTAAGAAAATATGCGTACCTTTTGTACCAATGAAAAAGTCTGCGCAAACGCGTCAAATTTTCTCTCTCATTAACATCGATCAACTGAGAACGATTCATTAAATATCTAAACATGTCCTGTTTACGACGATGTAGAGTGTATGCAAACTACAAATATACACAAAAAGGGCACTTCAAAACGTAACAAACAAAAAGTGCATACATACATGCATACAAACATACAGTACACGTAACAAAAAGTGGCGCAGTACATTTTTACGACATGAATGCCCTGAAAAAGGACGATGAAAAGGAAACTATGTTCTGTAAGGACGCCAGCCCACAAAAACAATCTTTGTACTTGCCCTCAAAGACACCCAAAAACTTTGGCCACTACATCGTCAAGTGAAGACGGCGGGTAACGCAACACTCCCTATCCAAACGTCTCCTTGCATGTGCTGCATTCGCAGTGCTGACGTTTGGCCGCAATCACGGCCGACACACAGATACCCCGCTCACACACAAGAGGCAGCAAACGACGCTTGAATGCTGCTCGACGGCGTGAATGAATCCAAATCGGCCGGAGAATCCGCCCAGTCCGCGACCACCCATCAGCTGGTGGCAAAAGTTGAGTGCCGCTGTCGGCTGCCCCGCCCCAGAGCTCAAGCCACCGGTCGTAAACAACGGTTACGTGACTGCCACCCAAGTCAAGCCAATTGCCATTGACCTTGAGGGCCGCGCCTGCCTGCCGTAGCGATCCTCGTCACCAGGCAGCACAGAGCGACTGGTGTCGAGTGGCGGAAGCACTCCTGACGGCGCGCGCCATTTGTTGTCGGCGAGAAGCCTCTGCGCGGCCGCCTGCATATCACAGAGCCCGCTCATGGGCGAGACTGTGTGACAGTCTCCGCTTGCTCGCTTCACTACCCGCCGTCGATAAAATGTGATGGTTTTCACTTTTTTCTGGTCAGTCAGCTCGTAAGTTTTTGATATAAAATATCAGTACGCAAGAGTGATTACACCACCCCAGCACGGCCCTCCACGTGAAAGCCGGTCTGCGACTGCCACCACCATCTCTGGCCTCTTCACAAGCGGGGCGTGTCACCCGTCAAGGCGGAAGCTGTCACCCGCCACAACAACAGGTGCCGACGGACCGTCACGGGCCAGCCGCCACTCGCCATGTCACACCTGACACCAGTGGCCCCGCCCCTCATAGTCAAGACACAACCTTCTTTTTTTCCAAAACTTTCCCATATCCTAAAAATATTCCCCTACTCCCCATAGAGCGCGTGCCATCTGCCACGGATGAGCAGACATCTGTCACACACCCGTCACCCGTCGCTCATCGCGGCGCCACATGTTTAATTTCCATGCGGCACGTATCATCGTCGGAGTCACCCGTCAGTCCTCGCCGTCGCGGTGTTCTCTGCATGGTGATGCCCGCCACCCGACCAGCTGTCAGCTGTCGCGGAGGCACCCGCGACGCGTCACCCGTCACAGCAACAGCGGCCGGCCGCCACACGGCAGCAGCGGCCGACCAGCACAGGGTGGCAGCCTCACCTTGGCGTGCTTGCTGCTCATCTCGTCGTCGCCGTGCAGAGGCACCACCTTGACGAGCGTCAGGCCCTTCTCCATGCGCATCATGGTCGTCTTGGGTAGGTTGTTGATGCGGTTCTCCGCGCGCGAGCCGCCGAACTCGGCCAGCACGCGCTCGCGACGCTTCCTGCCCGGAAACTCCACTAGCTCGATGCGTCCGGTTGCCACGTGTTCGGTCTGCCACCTGGCGGCAGCATCGTCAGCATGGCGATCAGGGAATGGCAAAGATAACATCGCGTTGGTAACAGCAATACTAATGACAATACAAATGACAGTGACGAACAAAAATAAAATGTAATAAAAAGAGTAAACACAAGTGCCATTAAATACTGATGAGAAACATATCGCAACGGTCATTTTCCAAGCCATACACTAACTCATAATTATCAGAGCCATAAAATATAAAGTACATGAGCAATAGCAACTAACAAAGAGTGCAATCGAGTCTATTACTTTAATAATGTGTGCTAACTACTATGGTCGGTGGCGTTTAAGTTTCTCACGCTAAGAGATGGGGGGATAACGAAGCACCGCCAACGCTCGTTTGATTGCTTTGACAACTACCTAGACATGAGACCACAGTTCGGCGGCCATATGAAGAATGTGTAAAGCAGCAAAACGGCGTCATCCACACCCGACGAAGGGCGAGTGCTTGGCGCCGCTGTCAGCTCTGTCAGATGTTAGAAAATGACCGGCCAGCGAGTAGCGGGCAAAAGCCGTGAGTGAGACAGTAAGCAGTGACGGATGCGGCTGAACAGAGGAGTGAAGTCGACGAGCAGTAAGTGGCGTGAATCCATTCGAGTGCGAAGCCGAGGGGCTCAAACTCTGCAGCGCGGGACATAAGTCACCGGACTCGCGCGTTCTGAACGCGCGAGTCCGAGTCCGAGGCTGTCTGTCACGTGGGCATCTCCTGGTGGCCACCCACCACCGAGCGACGGCCGCTCTTACGCTTCCCGCGCGAGGAGCGCCACCGACCACCGACGGCGAGCCACTCACCTGAACCTTGTAGTGCAGGGCGCAGTCGTCATCGACGGCCATCCAGGCGACGGCCGCCGACGACGTGTTGCGTGACATGAGCATGATGGGCGCGTCGGACTGACGGGCCTCGCTCACGGTGAGCTGCGTGATGCGGCCGCGCAGCTCGCTCCGGTACAGCTCCGTGCCCACGTTGATGTAGAGGTGCTCGTCCAGCAGCGCCTCCACGTCCTTGGCCACCATGTGGCGCAGCGTGCCGTTGGCCCAGCCGTTGAGGTACTGCGGCAGCACGTCGTCCACCTCGTAGGGCGCCCGGGAGCCACCGCGACCGCGGTTGTCCGTCTCGATGCCGATGCGCAGCACGGTCGACTGCACCTTCAGCAGCCGGATGGCGTAGTCCAGCCGGCCGTCGTTCCAGAGACGCAGCGTGGCCAGGCCTGAGGCAGTCGTCTCCGGCGGCGGCGAGTCGCTCGACTTGACGCCCGACAGCAGCGCCGAGAAGATGTTGCAGCCGATGCGTGGCATGATGATGCCGCCCAACTGGCGCTCCGGGTGCTGGCGCGAGAACACCTTGATGTAGAGCTGCGCGCGCGCCAGCTGACGCATCTCGCCGCGCAGCAGTGACGTGGTCGCCTCGACGATCGTCTCGCCGTCCTGGCGGCGCAGGGGCACGGCGGCGTCAGCGGGGAGCGACCGGCGCCGGGGCCGGCAGCGAGAGGGCGGGCTGCAGCTCGTTGCGAGATTCTGGGGCCAGGGAGGGGTCCCAGGGGTTGTCTCGGAAGTCGTCGCGGAGTCGTCGTGGGCGTTCTCGAGCGAGTGAGGGAAGTCGGAAGCCATCGCGGTGACCTCACCGGAAGGTCGAAGAGAGGAGCATTTTGGCCCACCCAGGCACAGGCGACGTAACGGCGCCAGCACGGAGAGGGCGCCGTGGCAAACTAGGCGCCAGCAAGGCGGGGGCACTGCGCTGAACCCACATCAATAAGACCTTCCACTGCTATGTTCTGGATGTGCGCACATTGACGCTATGGGTTTTTCTCACACACGCTGTTTTGTGCCCCCCCCCCCCCCTCCTCCCTGAAAAATGCCAAATGTCCTTGCTATGACAAAGTAATTGCAACGCTAAAAAGGAATTGTGCCGCTGTTTTACCGGCGTTTTCCGTTTCCACCAGTCAGCAAAGCAAAGCGAGACGGCCCAGTCGATAAGGCCACAAAAGCAAGAGAGACGTGCACAGGACCGAGGGCTGTAGCCGTGAGAGCTGTTGAGCCTACAATGACCTGGACTGTTTTCCGCGGGGCGATCGGTGTTTGGAGACCAACCAATGACGGTCGTATTTCACAAGCGCTTGTGCAACGCTTAGTTTGTAGTCCAGCCAGAGGCGCTGAGGTGACATGAAGACTCCAGCAGGCAGAAGGGCAAATGGCCCGGAAACGCTATTGAAAGAGACTGTGGCTCCTCGCCTCGCCAGCTGCACTATGACGGCTGCATGGCGCAGCAGACTTGACATGATCCCTGCACATTTGAATTGGCGTCATAGACACCACAGGAATACACAAGCGCCGGCGAATATGTATTCAGCACAAACCTGGGAGCCCGCCTTGCTGTACAGAATGAGAATGTTGAGTAGTTGCTGAAGCTGTCTGGGCCCCGCTGATGGAGGCGATTAGCTTAATCCACAACTGTTCTGGACCCCACCAGCGGCTCGGGCCCCAGCTCTTTCACTGTCTGCTTGTGTCTCTCATTGTGTCCAGCGATGTGAGGTCGCATCAGGTCCCGTGGTCAAGCCGGACAAGCCAGGACAAGTCAGGGAAATCTCGGTATCAGGACCGGAGTGCTGGGGCCCAGGTCAGGGACCGGCACCGAAGCTGGCGCGCCAGTTCCGCACGCTTGAGGGCAGAGGTGTCAGCAGAGCTGACCTTCGAGAGAGCGGGGGGAAGGAGGGGGGGAGGGGAGGGGAGGGCCGTCGGGTGGCGCCCAGGGGTCGGCGGCCGGCCGCGGTCGGGCCGTATGCAGGCGGCGGAGCAGGGTGACAGCGCAGCACGCTCCGCCGCCGCCCAGACACGCTAATTACAATATCAGCCCGCCCACGGTCCGGGCGTCTGCTGCACAACCCACGGCGTCATCACACAACATATCTCAGCTGTCCGGCGGCCAGGTGCACGGCTAGACAGGTCAGCGGCAGGGGCGCCGCCAGCAGCGGCCGCGGGAGGTCTGCCGCCGGGGTCGGCTGCAGGTTACCGCTGGTAGCGCCCCTGGGAACCCAGCTGCCGTGCGCCGCCCGGCCGCCGCGCCCGCGCCCGCCCCTGACCCGTCCCGGGACGAGAGCAGCGTCGGCGTGAGCAGTGACCGCCTGGGCGGCCTGGCAGCGATTGGCACTTCAAACGACAGCCGTGCGGGGCGGCGGTCCGGCCGACGTCGGTGGCGCGACACCTCGGCGGCGGGCGGGTGGGCGGCGGCCGGCCTGAGGACAGCTCGGAGGACCCGGCTCGAGCGCCGCCGCCACGAGCCGTCGCCAGCGCCGATGGGGACCGATAGCGGGGAGGCAAGACAGCACACAGGGCGGTCAGGCAGGACGGAACGAGGACGAAACGACGGCAGGCAAAGTGAGCAGGCGGCGCGAGCGGGGAGGCAAGACAGAAGGCAGCAAGCAAGCCAAGCAGGCGGCGCGAACGAGGACACAGGACAGACGTCAGCAAGCAGGATGAACAGGCAGGACGGGTTGACAACAGGCAGGGCGGGCGGGCAGGACGGATGACAGCAGGCAAGGCGAACAGGCAGGACGGGATGACAGCCGGCAGGGCGAAGAGACAGGGTGGATGACAGCTGACAGGGCGACCGGACAGGACAGGATGACAGCAGGCAGGGCGACCGGGCAGGACGGGATGACAGCAGGCAGGGCGCGCAGACAGGGCGTGATGACAGCAGGCAGGTTGAGCAGGCAGGGCGTGATGACGGCGGGCAGGGCGAGCAGTCGGCACGAGTGACGCTCACCGTTGTCTCCCCCCGATGCATCGCAATGACAGTCATCCCACGGGAGCCGCAGAGAACAGGACCTCAAAGCTACCGGCGCCCGCTCGACGGTGTACCAGCGAGATAAGACATCAGGGCACAGGGTACTGAACAGCCCCCCCCCCGCTCCCCACTCGACAGCGGAAGGCGTCAGCCAGTCGGCTGGTCGGTGGGCGCCTCCTCACCTTGATGCGCGCCACGTTGACCAGCTCGTCCAGGGTCATCTTGTCGCTCTTGCGGGCGTTCATCTGAACGACCAGCTGGCCGTCGGTGGTGTCCTCGGGCCCCCAGAGGCCGCGGCTGACCAGGGTCAGGTGGAAGCTGCCCGTCTGCGAGGCCAGCGAGACGACAGCCGTGCCGCCGGCTCCTGACGGCGGCGAGCTCGGCTCCGGCGGCACCAGCAGCGCGCTGAACTTCTCCGTCTGCAGGCCGCGGTACCTGCCGCACCGGCCACGCCGTGTCACACGACCGGCACGACGCGAGCCGGGCCGCCCCCGAGACGGCCCCCGGCTACCCCTCGGGACGGGGCCGAGGTGGAATGGAGCGGGGCTGGTCGATGACTGCCGCCGGCGCTATCTGCGGCCGGTGAGAGACGCTGCGCAGGCAGAGACAGCCAGGTAGAGACAACTTAAACGGGTACTGACGGCCAAGAACTACTCAAAAGTGATGCACCGGGGTTCAATCCGTGCTGGCGCAATACTTTACCACCACGAACATGTACCCTTCACTATATTCGCTGCCTGAACTTTTCAATGGCATCCTACCGAAAGAGCTCTAGCTTTGCTACCCTGGCAAGCGACCACTGGCCTGCCCAGCACGTCCCAAATCCGGGGACCCTCACCTCAGTATGTTGCCGCTGATGATGATGCCCAGCGGTCCGTTGCTATCCTCTACGGCGTCGCCGTACGCCATGCCGACGAACAAGTGGCCGCTCTTGAGCTGACGCCGGTAGCGGCGCGGCATCTTCTTCCACACGCCGCAGATCTTCTGGCTGCGCAGCTCGTACTCCGTGCTGGAGATCGCCAGCTCCTCGACGATGCTGACGGCGCGGTTGAAGAAGACGAGCCGGTCGGGCCGCTGCATGCGCTCGTAGTAGAACGAGTAGGTGAGCTCGCGGCGCGCCAGCCGGAAGCGGCCGGTGGCCACCGCGGACGTCCGGTTCGGCGGCGACGACGTCAGGCCCGTCATCAGCACGGCAAACTCTGGCGGCACGGGCACAGGCCGGTCAGCGGCGGCACGCGAGCGGGGCACGGCACCGGCACCGGCACCGGCACGGCTGCTGACAAAGCAAGTCAGGCTCTCCTTACCTGCAGAAGCCGCTGAGGCTTATGTTCGGAAATATCGCTAGCTAAGGATCCGTGCTCCTGAGCATGCGGTGTTGGTGACACGTTGCCACAGTTGGCGCGCCTCTGCATCAACTCCACGGCTGCGTTGGTCACGGACCCCATCGCGCAGCGGCTACATTACACAAAGCGGAACACTCTGATAACCACCGATCTATTTTATCGAATCACTGAGATGCAGGGATAGGTGAAATCACGCGCAAGGTGCTCTTAAGTTTCCTTCCAGGAGGCAAGACAACGCCATAGCAGCTCGAAGTTCCGGAGGCCGAACCTACTCTAGCTTTGCATGATCAGATAGCCGCTACACGCTGGTGCAATGTGCTGCTTCGTTAACCAACACCCTGTGGCCGCAGCCCGACTCTGCGCACCTTTTCAATGGGCTAGGCCCTGGATGGCCGAGACCGCCACGCCAGGCGCGTCACTTTTGATCAACGCCAACATGAAGGTCGTTTACATCCGACATCGCACCTTCACAGCCCAGATTTCCTCGCGTTCGCGTGCGACAGGCCAAGCGCGAGCACATCGAACGGAGCCGGGCCGTGCTGCGCCGCCGGCGGACCAGCAGCGACGCCGCGGCGTGGGTCCGGTCTGGGTCCGGCGGACCACCCATCGCGGGCGACCGGCGCCGGCGGAGACCGCTCGGGAGGTCTCTGCAGCGGCCAGACCACGCTCACCCCGACCCACTGCGCGGCCGACGGCCCGACCCTCGCCGAGGGTCGCCGATGGCGTCATGCCGCGGTGCACGGGGCCCCGGCGGCTCCTTATACGGCGCCGCACACGAGCGCACCGCCCGGCCGGCGCTGCGCCCCTTCCGTTATGATCCCGCCGGCGCCGCTTGGGCCACGACCGGCCGCCGGTCGGCACTTGACGGCCTCTTGGGGCGGCCCGAGTCACCGCACGTACGCGGCCCTCACGACGTGACCTCTCGCCGGTCCAGGTCACGCCCCGTCGGCCATATGTTAGTCTCTCGGGCTTTCCTTCGCCTTTCGCCCGGTGCAGTTCATTGGACGACCTAAAACGTCATTCGCTTCACTCCGTGTACATCACAGGCGGCACGGCTCCTTAATGCGAGGCAGGCGTGTTGCTGGCGAGCGCACCGGTTTTCAAACGAGGCTACAGTCCACACCTTTCGAGGCCAAGAGAACTGTCCCTGATGCGCCTTCGATCACGGCTCTGTTTGCCCCCCCCCCCCCCCCAAGCCCCGTATCACCAGGGCTGCACGCGGCTGCAGCCTCGCCACGGACGGCCATATCAAATGAGAGAAAGCCACTCGGCCGCGAGTCGGATGTACGGCTTCCCGACTGGGCGGCTGGGGACGGGAGGTCTCGACACACGGAGACTGCGGCTCGACACACGGAGACTGCAGCTCGACACACAGAGAGGACCACAGCCCGACACACGGAGACTGCAGCTCGACACACGGAGACTGCAGCTCGACACACAGAGAGGACCACAGCTCGACACACGGAGACTGCAGCTCGACACACAGAGAGGACCACAGCTCGACACACGGAGACTGCAGCTCGACACATACAGAGGAGCACAGCTCGACACACAGGGACCACAGCTAGACACACAGAGACCCAGTTCGACACACAGAGACCACATTAGACAGAGACCCAGCTCGACACACAAGAAACTTCGGCTCGACACAAAGAGACTACAGTTTAACGCCTACAGAGGACCCCAGCTCGACACACAGAAACTTCGGCTCAACATACAGAGATTACTGCTTGACACACAGAGGCTTCAGCTCGTCCACAGAGCACCACAGCTCGACGTAAAGGAAGGAGCAACAACTCAACAAACTGAGAGAGAACCACAGCTCTACAAACAAAGACGGTCACCGCCCGTCATACAGGGAAACAACAACTCGACGCACAGAGAGGACAACAGCTCGACACACAGCTAATTTTGCCACTCGACGCACGTATAATGCCGCAACTCGAAACGCAGGGACGGTCACAACTCGGCCCAGAGAGGGACTACAGCTCTGCATGCAGCGACAGTCATAGCTCGACAGGCAGAGGGCCACAGGTCGACACACTAGAGACGGCCGCAGTTCAGCGCATGTGCCTATGACATTTAGTAGCCTAACAAGCGCCTTTTAACGGTAATAAGTGGTGTTCAGTGTCCAGCCAGTTCACTGTTCAGTCAGCCGTTCAGTTCGATTCGGAATGACCCAGCACAAGCCCATATAGTTCACGAGTGGACTAGTCTGTCTGCAGACATCGGCGGACTAGCCTGTCTGTGTCTGCACAAGAAGGACGCATCACGGAATAAAAAGTTTTCATTCAAATTATCCTTCGTACGGTTTTTGACTAAACGTAAAATTGTCATGAAATAAAAGGTGGAGGCCGGTATACCAGTAAGCGCAAACAGTTCAGCATCAGAAGGCAAAATGCTCGCGTGCACTTCTTGAATACGGGGTGTGCCCGTCATTTAGTGCACTTCATGAATGCGGGGTGTGCCGGTGGTTTATAACAATGGGCATCGTTGCAACAAGCCAACTCATCTAGCCGTAAAAATGAAATGATTTTATTGTTGAGCTCCTTGAAAGGCAGTATCCTCGACAAAACTATAATTTGACGCACAGCAGAAGCTGCCTACTGACCACGAGCGTCAGAATATCGCGCATTAGCTAATAAGTGTCACAATAAACACCAACAGCGTGCGAATTTTCCGTCCCATACAGACGGCGTGTCCGGGGCCCCAGTCGGGCGGACCGTTTGACCGCGACAGCGGCGGCTGTCGGCCGGGCGCCGGCGGACGGCCGCCGCCTGCTAATCCGTACGAGAGGTTCCCAGATCAAGGCCGGGGGCCGGGCGTCACCTGCAGGCGGGCGTTTGGCGCCATCATTTGCATAACGTGCTCGGCCCAGACCACCCGGGCGACACCCTATATTTAGCCGCGGCGCCGGAGCACGAGCGCATGTCTACGGTCCTGAACGGCCGCCGCCGGAGAGGGGCGGACGGAGGAGCGATGGAGACGGTCCTCAGCCGAGGACCCGGCCGGCACGGAGGAGTATCGGGGACGATCCTCAGCCGAGGACTCAGCCCGGACGGAGGAGTACTGGGGACTGTCCTCAGCCGAAGACCCCGCCAAGGCGCAACTCCGTCCGCGACCGTACCGTCCATTGTCAACACGGCGTTCGTGAGAACCATTAGTGACAATTACTGGAGGGCAGGGTGGAGGAGAAGACTATCGCCTCCTTCCTGGTCGAAACCAGGTCCGCATCGGCAAGAGTGATTTCGTCGACCAAGCAGCGGGAAAAAAACGGCAGCTTTGGCACCACGCAGGCTATAGGTGTCTGTCACATAATAAGAAATCATATGAAAGCGACGGTATGGTACCTGGACTGCCCTACATTCATTGCGCTTCATACACTGCCGCTACATTCTTTCCCTTCCACTACTGCATCACAAAGTGCCTTCAGCAGCGACAGTGCTGCCGAATCGGTTCATTAGTTAACGATCAGAAGCCATAAACAGAGTTTCGCAATCCGTCCAGACGTGAAGCAAGCTACGATGGAGTTTTACCGCGAATCTATTACGTGTCAACTCGGGCCGTGCGCCAGGAGACTAAACACCGGGTGACTTCACCCTGAATGATATCGCATTCCGGCTGCGACGCCGACGCTACTCCGCGCACGTGAACGCGTTCACAATGAACGGCATAACAGCAGGCATACGTCACTGTCTGGTGCTGTCGCTCGAGAAACGCCGTGCTCATTGGCTGCTGTGTGGGTGCGCTTTGGTGAGGGTGCCCCGCGCCAACCCTTCCATTTCAATTTGAAATGAGGGAATGCTCGGGCCATTTGCATTGTGTTTGTAATGTTGGACTTCAAGAGTCCGAGCAGAACGTTTGATCCACAGGCGGCGCAGTGCCAGGTTCGGCGGAAAATAAATGTGAGCGGCTAAAAATGCAAACGTCCGAGTTCCACTGCGGACACAAATAGCCACAACATGCCGCAGCGTGCCCGTCCTAATTGCGGCGTATGTGATCAGGTCTGGCAATGGCATCGCGCTCGTTTTCCTGTTGCGTTCGATACAGCGCGACCCCGCTTCTGAATGCCAGAGCTCCGTGACATGTCCGATTGGGAGGGTGATGAGCTGCCCGCTCGATTTACCTATTTCAGTCAGAGCATGCCAATTGAGTGGCCTCACCGATGCAGATAATAATATAATATAATATAAACAGGCAGATCTTGCGGTTTTAGTGGCGGGGCTTACCTTTGCCGTTGGGCTCGTCCTCTTCATCAACGAGGTCAGCACGTGACCTGCCGCGAGACGCGTCATCTGAAGAGGAGGCGGACCACGTCAAGACCAGAGGCAACTCGCTTCGCGCGCATCAAACACCCTAGATGCGGAGACACGGGTCAGATTCCAGCCTATTACACAGGACATAACGGATCAAGGTAAGGCTAGAAATGATTTGGAACGTAATGACCGTTTGGGCAAACTTGGTATTTGGCAAAAAAAACGCGTTTGGCAAAATGGCAACGAGCGAGAATGATATTCTTGATGCCCATGGGATTTACGGTTGCTCACTAAGCGGGAAAGATGTAAACAGATGCACAATCTCGTCATTTGAGCCCCCGATGGACTATCCATTCGCGGAAATCAGCGGGTGGCTTGGTTGAAGAAACCCGTCGACTCTCTTCCGCGCTGTCACTTCCTTCACCAAACCCGTCCCTCCATCCACCCCACACCTTGTCTGTCTCTCCCTCTCTCTTCCCACATATCTCTTCCTCTCTCTGCCTCCCTCCCTCTCTACCTCTTTATCTTACTTTCTCTCCCTCTCCCACCCTCCTCCTCCCATCCCTCACTTCACACTCAGATGCATACAAACACCGCGTCCTTCGACACACAGGCCGCCGACGGCTCACTAAGAATGATTTGCTCCGTCGCTGCCCACCGACAAACACCGCACAGAAAAAGGCGACGCGCCGTGCTGCCATGTCGCGTCCAGCCGCCACCGCGACAAACACATCAACGCGGGCGCCGCGCACCGCCGCCCCGGACAAAAGCAGCACCAAGGCCGGCGCGCCAGCCCTTTGAAGAAGACGCCGCCGAAGCCGGCGCGCCATTAACCGGGCAGTCCTTTGGTGACGGACGCCGATGGCCTGTCGGTCGGGTTTAACTGCGCTGGCGCCCGCAGGACGCCCGGAGAGCCGCCGTTGCGCGCTTATTTACGGCGGTGGCGCCGCCTGCCGGGACGAGGCGATGATGTGCGGCGCCACGGGCCGCGCGGCGCAAACCGCGACGTGCCCAGCATCGTCCCGCCGTTGTGGATGTGCGTGTGCGCGAGCGCATGCGTCTAGGCGTGCGTGCAGGCGCATGCACACGAGTTTTTGGTGCCTGTTTAACAGTGACTCTACAATGTGCGTGCAAGAAAAACGATGACCTTAAAAATCTAAACGCGCATTTGACACACAGAAGAGGGCTGGCGTGCACTTGTTGGACCATTTCTGCGGTGACCAGTCCCTTCCAAGCCTCGGACGCCCTCCGCGAGTTGCGCAGACAGAGAGCCGACGCTGGCGGCGCCTGGCGGCGCAGTCTACCATCCGGGGGTCCCAACACCTTCGTCGAGCCTTCCTCAATTGGTTGCAAATATTAGCATCGCCGCCGCGCTGTTCGCACTGCAGCTGATTTCTCTGCCAGCTTTGCGTTCACGCATGGAAATGGGTCGCTTCTCTAGCTGCAGCGTCGGCAGCACGGCCACGTTCAGAGCTATACGGGATCTATACGGGTGTTGCGGTACAGCATAGAATACAGGCGTCGTTGCTGTTAGTGAGTTTACCATCTAGGTTTCTCTTATTTGTCATGAGACATCCATCATGACAAAAAGGCAGTGAAGTAGAACAAACGCGGCGCTTGTCTGTTACCAGTACATATGATCAGCTGGTAAATACTTCAACCGTTCCAGAGGGATAGATAGTATTATTCCGAGCGTATTTGCGACACAAATTAGCGCGGCGACATAAAAGATGAAACGAAAGGATGCTTTACTCTCGGCTCTCAACCCGGCTCCAGGTGTCCGTGCCCGCCCGCCCAGTCCGGCTCCAGGTGTCCGTCCCCGCCCACCCGCCCGGCCTGGCTCCAGGTGTCCGTGCCCGCCCGCCTAGCCAGGCTCCAGGTGTCCGTGCCCGTCCCACCCAGCCCGGCTCCAGGTGTCCGTGCCCGTCCGCTCAGCCCGACTCCAGGTGTCCGTGCCCGTTCACTCAGCCCGGCTCCAGGTGTCCGTGCCCGCCCGCCCAGCCCGGCTCCAGGTGTCCGTGCCCGTTCGCTCAGCCCGGCTCCAGGTGTCCGTGCCCGCCCGCCCAGCCCGGCTCCAGGTGTCCGTTCCCGTCCAACGGCCCCAACCGCGCCCTGCGTCCCAGGTCGTGCCGGCGTCTCGACAGATAACCGCCAGCTGTCGCCGGCGTCGTCTCCGGCGCGCGTCACCCAGCCTATCGCTGTCAAAATATACCGTAGTTTTTGTCGCGCGCCGGCTCGTGCCCCACGTGGCGATAGTCGGCGATTGCTCCGCTAGCAAAACGATACGCGCCTCCTCAGCTGGCGCCGCTCGGACAAAAACAGGCCCACCAATCAGCGTGCTCCGCGTGCGACGAAACGGGGCCGGCTCTTGTTAGGACGCCTGTTCCGGTGTGCAGGGACCCGACGCTGACCTCGGCACTCCGAGGAGGAGGGAGGGCGGGCGGAAGAGGTCACGGCGGTGTCGTCACATCGTACCCGGCCTCGGCGGAGCGCTGAGTGGCCTGCACACACTACCCCGCCCTGAGGCCAGCAGCGTCAGTGCTCTCATTCCATCTTGCACTTCCTTACACGGCACCAGAGGTGCAATCAAAAGGATATCTGAGACAAAAACGGATCCAAGTGGACACGGCGGGTCTCAAAACGGTAGACAAAATCGACGCTCTTTATCCAGGTTGATTTTTGAGTAGTTGACACCCCGTCCGTAACTCCATTCCATCCACATGACCCACGCTGGACCGACCCTTAATCCAGGCCACCGCGAACGATCCCAACAACTCATATCTATAATACAGACGCAATGGTAATGCCTGACATGACCGCGAAAATACTGTGGTCCCGGCCTCACCATTCAAGTTAACTTAATTCACAAACAACGTATTTTAAGACTTCCTTCCACACGAAATAGCACCTAACTCAGGAATTTACGGCAGGGCTTTATCCTCCCCAGCGGGAGCCCGCTTCACAGACTTTTTTACTGCGATCGTTTGCTTTGCGTGGGCGTCGTTGGGATTGTGGCCACTGCTGACCGTAGCCGACTGCGAAGGTCCTGACCCCAACGGCCAAGTTGAACAATTCCAATGCAAACTATATTTAGCAGACGTCTTAACGTGTAACGTATCGCCATGACAAGATCGCTCAATGTCAGTCTGAGCCTCTTGGTCAGTTACTAAATGACCAGCACTGGCTGATGACGCCAGCGCGGTCACTGCGACGTCAACCCTCATGTCTGACACGCATTATCCCCTCCCTCCTTGGGCTACCGGGTTGACAACAGATGACAGAGTGTGAAAGTTCTTTCACTTCTATGTTTTGCAACGCGGCAGCGCCCAATCTTATGGAAACACCTTCAAGAACAGTAACAAGGCGCACTATAGCCGGTAGCACATTGCCTCGCCGTCTTCTGGTGACTTGAACATTGGATCATGATTTTTGGCGGCGACGGTGAGCACAATGTACCTAAAAAGCGTGGAGCACGTACAAATACACGGCTAGTTACATAATTTAAGGTCCATGGTACATCGCCATCATTTCAGAGCCGACCAAACCTGGATTGACAAAGCCATGAGTAATGTGGCTAGTAATCCTTTTATCTTTAGGATTACATCGATGCTGACGGGACGAAATCAAGGGGAATCGATGGGGTGCGCTAATTTAGGTCAACTCAGCTGGTTTGTCAATCCAGGCAAACTTGCTACCGATGTGTCATTGCTAGCATGGCACATCCGTGACGTGACCTTAGGCCGATTTACATACGCATATCCCACGACACTCACTGACAGATTGGACAAACTGGGATCTACTGACAACATGCGGTCACAAATTTACGGGAATTGCAGCGCGGGGCGCGGCCAAACACCCCGACACGTGCTTTACGACAACCCGCATCAGAGGAGCACCACAGCCAAAGCACGGCGACTGGTCTGTCGGGCCTGCTCTCACATGCAACTGAATTTAAAGTAACCAGGACCTGTCCAGGCTGATCGTCTCGCCAAACAATGGGACATGTCCGCGCCATGAATGCCGCAGGTTGGTCCCAGTCCGCTGACACCGCAAAACAGCGCCTGGTAGGCTTGTCCCGTTCAGTACCTTCTCAGCCCCCCTGGGTAACAACGTGGTCGATGTCGCTGGAAGTGGACACGTGGGAGAGGTGGGAGGCGTCTGCTGTGAGTAGACACGAGAGAGGCGGGAGGCGTCTGCTGTGAGTAGACACGAGAGAGGCGGGAGGCGTCCGCTGTGAGTAGACACGAGAGAGGGGGGAGGCCTCTGGCGGGAGTGGACACGAGAGAGGCGGAAGACCTCCGATGGGAGTGGATACGAGGGAGGGATGGAAAGCTCCTGGTTGGACACGAGACAGTTGGAAGACCTCCGATGGGAGTGGACACGAGGGAAGGATGGGAAGCTCCTGGCGGAAGTGGTCACGAGGGCGGGCCGAGCAGAAGAGGGTCGGCGCGGGAGGTCGTCCGGAAACTCACCGCTGCAGGTTTTGCAGCACTCGCCGATAGGCAGCACGGGGTTTTTGCAGCTGGGCTTGGGACAGTCACGCTTTATGTTGCGACACTTGACGCGGCCGACCACGCGCTTCTTTCTGTGTATCTGCGGACACGGGAGCCGACTCAGATCACAGCAGTCGGCAGACACGGGAGCCGACTCAGGTCACAACACTGGCGAACAAGGGAGCCGACTCAGGTCATAACACCGGCGAACAAAGGAGCCGACTCAGATCACAGCAGTCGGCGGACACGGGAGCCGATTCAGATCACAACAGTCGGCGGACACGGGAGCCGATTGAGATCACAACAGTCGGCGGACACGGGAGCCGACTCAGATCACAACAGTCGGCGGACACGGGAGCCGACTCAGGTCACAACACTGGCGAACAAGGGAGCCGACTCAGACCACCGGCAGTCGGCAGACACGGGAGCCAGCTTACGTCACCGGCAGACACGGGAGCCAACCCAGGTCACGACAACTGGCGGTCGACTGCGTGTCACAGACCGGAATGGTGGACGGGCCACCTGCTGAACTCCTCAGATGTCCTGGCCACAACCTGCAGCAGTGCGGAACGGGAGGGGACGAGGCCCGGGAGTAGGTCATTGGCCCTGGTTTGCCGACCTGTTTTGTCTTGGACGCCCTCCACCCGAAGCTTATCGCTTCGGTTAGTGATTACCGATCACGCCACTGTCGATGCCACGGATTAGTCGAAAGTACATTGGGAAATTGCGATTCTACACTCGCCCAGACAGAAAGAAATTAATTTATTCGCGTACGGTTTGGAAAACAGAGATATCGTGCAAGATAACAGGGAAGTCTGCTCGGCTTCCAACTGCAGCTTCGACAAGATGCAGACGGTGTCTTATCTAGGCCAGTCTAGTAAGTCCTGTCTAATCCAACCCAATCGAACTCAATTTGGTAGAGAACAATCTCATCAAACTTCAAGCCGTCCGAGTACGACACAGGGTAGAACAGACTTATGGACTGGCACCTGCACAACACTGAAGAACCGTGCAACACAGAGCACTGATACTGCATTTTACTCCCTGGCACGTACCAACGCTCATCAGTCACCTCGCCTCATCTGTACCCACACTGTACCCGGCGTACCCGGCTCGGGAGGCGGCCCCAGACGGACGCCACAGCCGAGCATGTTCTGTTGAAAATTCCACCGGCCCGTTTACGGAGGCGGCAGTGGCACGTTAATAAACACGAGCACGCGCGCCGTCGGCCGTCCGGCTGCATTGGATCAAGCGCAAACACGGCCCGCCGCCGGTTCAATTGGCGAGGAGCGAAGCGGCGCCAAGTGGCCGCCGATCGCTGCCGGACCGGCCCGACCCCGCGGGCCTCCGACCCCGCGGTCTGTCCTCCTGCTCCGCTCCCCCTCCCTCCGCCCTCTAGTACGGCGGCCTCGGGGCGGCCACGGTCCGGTCAAATGCCTTTCGCGATGCATCATGGCGTCGCCGCGCTCTGCACTCTCGCAGACCGAGTGCTCGGCGTTTTCCTTTGCTGCAAAGCTCCTGACTTGGATACAACGGTTCGCCGCGTGCCAGCCGTTGGCAACCAGCGCCGCATACGTTGCGCACGACGCCCGCTCGTGTGCCCGCGGGTGCGGACACAACGCATGGTGCATTAGGCCGTGCCTCATAACTGGCGGAGTGGCACGAGGGCGGGCACAGTGGCGCCAGGACGGCCTGTTTTCCTTTCGAGCGGCCGCCCGACAACGACCGAACAGGCTCATTTCAATAGATAACATCACGCTTTAATTCATATTGCCTTTGTGAGCTTTTCATTATTCACAAAGGCAGCTCGGCTGAGGCGCGCGGCGGCCGGGCCGCCATCGGACGCCCCGCCCACTCCGAGAGCGCATTCCCGTCTCGCTCAACGACCGCTGCACCGACCTACGCCAACCGCCAGCCTCTTCACTACGTCGGCCCCATCGAAACGCTGCAAGAGCCCGCAGCCCTACAAGGCACGCTGAGCTCTGTGGCGTCTCGCTCTCCTGCAGCCGCGCTCGGCGGCGACCGTGTGATCTCGATTCCCTCGGAGCGTTTCTCCAGAATAGGAAGTACCCGGGCGCCAGCGCGGCGCGTGCCGCTGTCCGGGGCTCTCCCGGCACGGGGAGTCGACCGGAGGCGTCGGCACGAGCGGCGGCGACGGCTGGCTATCGGCGCATCGCCGGCTTCTGCGCCGCTCCGGCGGCGGCGGCGGCGGCGGCGGCGGCGGCCACTGTCTAATTGGCCGCCGACAGGGCGCGTCGTTAGGTGCCCGGTCCGTGGCGCCGGTCCAAATTTGGTGGCCGCTAGCCTCCGCGGCGGACGCCAGCACGAGGTCGCGCCCGACCACCCGGGCCCGCTGCTGACCATGTAGAGCGGAGATGGCCGGACCGAGGCGGCTGCGCTGCCGGTCTGTCACCGCTAACAGAGCGCGCGGTGCCAGAGATTGAGCCTGACACCGTGGACGGGCCGAGCCGAGAAATTATGGTCGCCAAAATAGGCCGAGGTGAGGAGATGTAGCAGCAACGCCACTTGCATGTCTTCCACCTGCGTGAAATACGGTTAAACTTTCGCCTCACCCCGGCATACAAAACGGTCCTGCACCAGCTTCGCAGTCTCCATTACACCTCCGCCCCTCTGGTGTGCGGCGGTTGCCAAGTCGCGTTGTGACGATTTCCAGTCACGATTCCCACGCACGGACTGCTGCCGCCGGCGCGCTGCCAAGACGCAGCCGACGTGTCCAACAAGCTGCCGACTTGTCGGACTCATGCCAGCTCGTTGGATTAACCTGACCACAAAAACGTATCGCACAGAAATAAAGTACCAGTGTTTTACAAACTTTTCCGCCGCCCCGACCACGATCATGACAACCGCTGGCGCTGGGTCTCGTATTTTTGAGTGTAGAATGACGCATTGTAAGAGGCCCCGAAGCATGGGAGTGCAGCGCAGTGATGGACGGAGAATGCGGCATGGCAGGCGCAACAGTCGCCCTGCCAGCTGTCATGCATCAAGCCATCGGATATTTCTGGCCTTTGGCATCTCGCGATTTGAGGATCTTCACTTTGGCAGCTTTGCCACGCGAGCTTTTCAGCATCCTCCACTCGTAAATGTAGTGGTGTCGCATAAACCGTACCAAAGCCGAAGCCGGGCAGTCAATTCTCTTCACCTTAGAGATTCGCCACTCCTTTTATCCTCGCACATCATTGATTCAAACTTTCATTCTTGCATCCTTTATTGCATGCTTTGCTCATCTACCGTTATCACAGCACGCCCTTACGTTTCATCCATTCATCGCAACTTACGATAGAACAGCCGCGGTCTAGTGCGAGAAGAACCGTGGTCAGCAGATGCACCAGTACGTGCAATACAACACGGCCCCCGTCCTGGCGCCACCGGAGCGGCCTCCACGCCGTCACGAAACACGCGTAAAAGCATTTCGCTGTGGCGGCCAGGAGTGCGGCCGAGCTGGCGCCGTGCCAGCGGAGCTCTCGGCAGCCGCGAGAGCGCGGTATGGCTGGCGCCGCGCGCCCGTCTGCAACTCCCACGCCACGGGCCGGCTGTGAGCGCCCGGTAACAGGCGTCGGCAGCCGTGCGAGTCTCGCCTACACCGGCGCCGTGTGTCAGGTACCAGAGCCCGCCTGCGCCGGCCCGTCCCGCTCGCCGCCACCGACGCTTCGGAGATTTTCCGCAAGGAGTAGCCGGCGGGAAGCCAGTCACCAGCGGGAGTGCCGCTGCCAGTTAGAGGCGCGCCAGAGAGTGCGCGCATGGGGACTGTGCGGTTTCAAAGACTATCGCCGGTCAAAAGCAGCCTCTGCTCCCTCAGCCCGCTGACGACGAAGGTAGGAACTAAGGTGACCTCAAGAACGCCTTCGGGTGGTACTTTCACAGCTGCGCAAACGTGCCGAAACCGCTGGGCTTTTTACTCCGCGTTGTCACAGTTTACCTTTATTCTTTTACTTGAACGCATGCAATCAATCGTTTATTGCGGCAAAATGGGGCGATCGTTTTCAACCACACGGCGAGTCTCGCTGAAAAGACCCAGTCTAGAGATCAGACCAACTTCAGGTGAAAAGGAGAGAAAATTCACAACTCGCATCTCATAGCCCAGGGGATAAAAGAGGTGAGTTTTTCTTGGGGGATCGAGGAAGCAACTGAAACTGCCAGCGGCAAGATAGATACTAGCGATCAACTAAAATAGTCCGGAGCCCCTGCTCCTTCCCTTTCCTCCGCACTCAACAGCCTGGGACACCCACAAAATCCTTCGGTTAAAATCGCAGAGTGCGGCGTCTTATTCTAATTTGTTTCGTTTTTTATGCCAGCCGTCAGTTTTTTTACCAAAGCAATAGCTAAACAAATTTTCAGCGTGGAACACTTTTCCTAACGCGCGCACCGCCTAACCTGGGCCCTAGTCCAACGATATTCTGACACATGGCAGGAGGCTCAACCGTACCGTAACGGCACCATCGGACCATAGAGTGAACAAAAAAGTGCAACATTTGCAATGTTCCCGTTATTCTGCATCGGTTGTGGCTGAAAATCTTGCCATATATGACAGCTTTTTCATTAGTTTATAAAAGACACGGAAAAATTTGCTAGCTTTGTTCCTTTGATCGCCCATGTCCACCTTACCGGCTACCGCAAGGCGTTGTCAGAATCAGAAATACGTCAACCAGCCAACCGTTACCAGGCGGCAGGCTAGCGCTGCTGGCCAGCGCTGGAATGGCCGGCATGCACGCACGGCCCCCGGCTGGCGCCACCGGTCTGCCAAGAGGCCTCTGGGACCGCCCGGGAAAACTGCAACCTCGCGGGGTGGACAGGCCCACTGATACTGTTTACGGGTCCGCCGGCCGCGAGTATTTTCGGATGTCATTCCGATGTACGTTAATGTGAGCTGTCAGATATGACTGTCCGCGTGACTCACCACCCACCCGGCGATGACGGTGCGGTTTGAAACACACTTCCACGCAGCGGCGGGTAGTAATGCTACAGTAATGTTGGCGCGCCTGCCGGAACTGCAGCGCTAACAGTGACGTCCGGCCACGCGTTTTATAGTATTATTTACAGTGTGATACTTTTACCATTATGCAAGGGATAAACAGCAGGTTACTGCCCAGCTAGCTTACTAACAAGCATCCATGGAGCGGATGTTTGGGTGATGGCTGACAGGATTCAGCAGCAAAGCCGCACCAAGCCCAATTTTCGTGTGGAAGAGTCCGTCCCGAAAACACAAGGGCGAGTGCTACGGAATCAACCCGCCCGCTCAAGTGCACACACAGCGCTGACCACACAACACAGACGTGCTCAGACGATCTCCAATAAAAGGTCCCAGAACACCAAAAGGCTTTTGTTATCACTAGCTTCGTGACCGCTTACTAAAGCGCGTCTTGCAAGGCGGTTTCAGTGGCGAGCACGCGCCGCGATAACGTCGACCAATCAGCAGGCTCGGTACATTGGCGCAGCAACAACTTACCGGTACACATTCGCACTGGACGCAGTACATGATGCCGAATGGCGAGCCAAGGTCCGGGTTCCACATGGCCTCCAACTCGTATGTTTGCTTTCCAAAGTGACACACTGGAAACGAGAAAAGGAAGAATTATACAAGGCCGAAGGTGGTAAAAGCACAGAATCATAAAATTGCCGGGCGGTTTGGATATCAATGAGACAGGAATGAAGACAATGGTCAATACAATTTCCATCGTTGAGAAGTCTTTCCTTGTTTGTTTGTACTGTAATTATCTTCACAGGCGCCGCACCAGCACTCCCTTATACCTCCATACGGCCCGACACTTTCATAATTAAGTGAAGTGTACACGCAATGGCGCAAAACACGATCTCCAGTCTCATCTTGTCCAGGGATGCAAATCGGTACGCTGGCAGGGCCATACCTTCTGACAATGTTCCTGCTTCCATAACACTGATAACACCGTGCTAGCGCTTAGCATACATATTTCATGGAATAAGAGCTCTAAAGACCACAAAACAGAAACAAAATGTGGGCAGCAAACTCATGTAAATCCCACCCAAAGACAAATGTCGTTCAGAAGCCATATTGGCAATGGAACGGTGCCAAATATCTCAACATAAAGCGCATTCTCTAGCGACTCAGCACACGTGTTGGGTAGTTTCAAAAACATTTCGCCACATATCGTTATTTAAACTCTTGTAACAGGCGTAATTATTGCTGCTTTTCGAAACCATTAGCTAGAGAGTTTTCCAAACCTTTGCAAAGCGCGCATTTATGAACGTCATTCCTAAACACGCCATAAAGCAAGGCGCATCAGCGAAAATGGAATGTCAACACGTCATTGTACTGGGGGTTTATCTATATGGCAAGGATCCATTACCAAAGTAAATGATAACCTCAGTTTAGCACCATTCTTCAGCTCTTAGGAAGTTCACCAGCAATTTGCGGCAGTAAAGCCACGTTTCCCCGCTCGCTGCGTTTTTGGTGGCTGTCTCATTCCCTCTCTGGACCGGTTCCACCCAAAGACATGGCCTGTCGGCGTGGGGCTGCGGAAAAAAATACGGCTGCAAGAATCAATGAATGGAACTGCGTCAAATAAAAGTATTTCTGGTTAGCAGTAGCCCAGAGTTACGTGAATGACGTGGATAGGGCTAAGGAGCGGGCCGTCACTGGCATGACATGTATTGTGAATGTGCAGGAGGCATCGCCAGACGTCAAGGGAAGCGGGCAGAAGATAGCAAAGTCTAAAAACGGCATTACGTAATCCAGGAATGGTGCTTCGATTATTTGTATCATGTTCTTTTCACTGAAGCGCATATCTTGATAGTAAATGCACAGGGACGTGTCCTCCAAATCCGCGTTCTCTGCCATCCCAAGCCATCTCCAAGACGGTTGCCGACCCCCCCCCCCCCCCTCCATCCCAATGGGCGCGGGATGCATGCCTGGGACCAGCCCACTGGGTCAAAGCCTGAAGCTCAGCTGAACCACGAGGCGAATTTCGACCTCAACCCTGACCTCAGCTATCTCAAACGGTTGATGCAATGCTCGAGACAAATTCTATTCGTGGCTTTCTCGCCAATGTCGCTGTGTGCGCCTAGTGCCACATGTCACCGCATGCCCATTGGTCTCCAATGTGATCCAGGCTGTCGGCGCACCCAGCTGGACGACGCTGGCACTGCCCCAGCATGGAATATTCCATTGGCAAAGCACACAAACTCAGCCGAATTCTAGAAGCGTACCATGTCAAGAGCAGGACGCCAGTGCTAGAACCGAGCCCAGTGCCGATCGGCTAAAGTGTCGTGTGCTGCTGTCTGAACGTCCCGTGCAGACCCGGGAAGGCACGCCCCGCTTGCACGGGTCTGGCAGCTCGAACACCGTGACCAAGCATCGGGACCCACGTGAGCGATCGAGTACACAAGAGCAACGGCGCCTCCACTACGTACAAAGAGACGAGCGTCACTATCAGAGGACCGTCCCTGATGCTCACTTGCCACGTAAGCCCGCTTAAAAGCAAGACACGGGCCGGGTAATTCTGCGAAACGGTACCTGTCAACTGACATCATCACGTGTCTTGCACGTCCACGAAATCACAATATCTGAAAAAGTGAGCATCGCTATCTGGTCTGTGCACGTGCTTACCCGAGTGGCCGCGGCGGACCTGTTTATAAAAGCAACGGCACCCGTTGTCACGAGCATGCAATGCGGGTGTGTTGCAAGGCTGCGGGTGAACGCGGTGTGAATGCTTTGTTGCATGCATTGCAAAGGATATTTACCAGGCAGGCATGGAGATAGGCAGCGGCAGAACGAAAACGTCCTATATCGGGAACCCTCCACCCTGGCATTGGCCAGATGCATGGGCCGCGGTGGCCATCTCCAAGTACTGCATGGTTCTTGTTGCCTTGTATAGTTTATCATTTGCACTGGTTCGATACATTTATCAAGCGAGACCGGCATAACAAGGGCAATTAATGATAGCAATAACGAAATTATAGCCCGCAACCGGTTGCAGATTGTACCAGCTCTTTTATCGAACACCCATCCAACAGGTTGTGGAGTTCAAACGCTTCCACCGCTAAGCGCTCAAAGTCACGCTCGCGTCCGGCTGTTACAAACGAGCATATGAAAGCTCGATGCTTCTCATTCTCACCCTACGCCCGCGCAGTTTGTTCTGAAAATCTTCCGCGCATCTTTCGCTCAGAGAACAGGCAAAACTACGACACCAAAAGCGTAATTTCTCGGTGACAGACACGCTTTTCAGCATGGGCAGCAACACGCACGAGATGCTGAAGGTGTCTCAGAGACATCAAACTCTTTGCCCTGTTCTTTACAGGGAGACAATCAACGAACTTTTGGCTCGCAAATGGATAATCTAGAAAGGTGTCCACAACAGAGCTTACCGCGATTTTAAACAGCAGCCAGGTCAAGAATGGACAGCAAGGGAGCATTTTCTCTACGAAAAGAAAAACATGACATGTCGGTTCTACCTGGATATGGAGTTTGCCGTCACCAGAGATCTGCCAGCAACAATAAACGACAGAGTGGCAGGCACGGCCTCTAGAGACACTATCGATGGATGTTATTGCGAGCCATCACCGAATAGCTCAGACAGCAGCGTGCTGTTTGCATGGCCGGGGACGGAGCGGGCCGCCGGGTGAGTGAGCTCCTGTCCACCAGCCGGCGCGACAAGCCGTGACGGGGCCGTGACGACAGCCGCCACAGCTGCGACACGCGGCGGTGAGCAACCCGCCGCCGAGCACGGCCGACGAAACCGGCTGGCCGCTCCCGAAGCGGCCGCGCACCGTTCCCTCGAATCGCTAAGCCGGCCGCGCCCCAGCCGCCGAGCGGGCCGGCGGGGTCTGCTGTCGGCAGACGGCGGCTCGTGTCGGCCGGCGCGGCGCTACCGGGCGCGCCAGGTCACTGCACCGCCGCCCTGCAACCGCCGATCGGCGTCTTGATGCCGCCCGGCAGCCCAGCCGGCCTCGGTCCGGCGCCGGCGCCGGCGCCGGCCCGGTCGGCCCCGGCGGCAGGCCCGGTGAGGACGGGCTGGGCCGACTCAGCGCGCGGATGGTGCTGGTTTCCGAACTGGACGCCGGAGCGGCCCAGGTGCCGGCAGGCCGCTGCGCCGACCAGCCGCGCTGCGCCCGTCACGACAGCGTGACCAGCTGGGTCTCGGGAGTCGCGCGGGTCTCGTGCCGCCCCGAGGCCGCCGGCCCGTCGCGGCTGATCGGCGCCGCGTCAGCCGCGCCGCTCCGGCCGCCGCCGCCGTCCGCCCCTCCCCGAGCCGGGCACACGTGCCGGGTCAGACGTGACGCGCCGCTGACCCGGCGGCCGACGCGTCGTCCGCCGGCGGGGGCGCCGCCGCCGCCGGACGCTCATCGCAAACAGCGCGGTTGCGTCAGGCCGCCGTGCTGGTCAGCTGACTGGCGCCGTCCTCAGCTGAGACGGCCGGCGGCGGCCTTGCCTGCGCATTAAGCAGCGGGGCCGCCGCCCGGGGCCCCTGCGCCCCGTTTTGGGCAGTCGGGTGCAGCCATGACATGGTCCCCGGCCGAGAGCCGCCGTGCTGCACGAGGCCCAGCGGACAGGTCGTGCTCCGCACGGCGATAACGGCACGAGATTTGGACACGACATCGGCCCGGTAATATATTGAGCCAGTAAGCATTACCATCAGCGGGAGCGCCCGGCGCGCCGACGTCAGGACGCGGCGGCACGAGTGCGGACACCGGCGCGCTTCGGACCGCACTCAGCCTCCGAGTACCGCCGGCTCACCCAGCTGCCTTGCACGAACCGGGCGGGCCACGGGACCGTCCGAACCACGCTCGTCCGCCGAGCGGCGGAGACCAGGTGGACCCGCGGCGGGAAAGCTGCGGGGTCAGCCGAGCCCGGTCTGACCTGTCGAAGCTGTGTCATCAGCCCATCACGGTGCGGCATGTCGAGGCTGTGTCATCAGCGCCATCAGTCTCCGGCGCTCCCCGCGGACCCGGCGGCGCCGCCATCGGCGGGCCGGCCGCCCGCGCCCAGGCAGGCGCGCCACGTCAAACGAAACAGACGAGCCACCTGGCGCCCCAGCGCATCTTGACAAGCCGAAAGGTCACTGCGGCACCCGGCAGCCTTTCTTTGGCTGCCGCTTCCGGTAGCCTTCCCCGCCCCCCTGCTCCCCGCCACCCCGGCGCCCGGGCCGTTGGCAAGCGAGGACGGCTGGCCGTCCGACCACTGACACCTGGCGATTCCGGGTCCGGTCCAGACTCGTCACGTGACTCAGGCTCGTCTCGTGACTCGTGACTAATCCGCAGAAGGTCACGGGGCGATATACATAGCCACGCAGCAGCCGCGGCCTGGCCGCTGCACAGCTTCATTCGAGAGCCGTCGCCAGCGGGAGTCCCCGGCCGGGCGGTAAGCCCAGCCTCCACGCTGTACGAGATGTGGGCAGGGCTGTATCTTCCAGGAGAGGGAATTCGCAAAATTGGTTGCGGGGCTCAGCTCGGGAGCATCAAGCTAAGGCACCTCCAGGCGCTTATTGGCATCCAGGTTTTGGTCACGTTTTTGCCATGCGGGAGCACTAATGCATCATTTGATATCTTCGTTTTTATTTCGATAGTTGTGATTCCCG